GGTGCAACCTAAGCTACATCCCAGCTAAAACAAGGGCTCTCTGACTTTAAATAAAACCTAACAATAACTATTCCTCCCGTGTTTCAAGGAAGTTCATCCCAAAATGAGGTCAGAGAAACTTGGGAAATAGGAAATGTGACTTAGCCAGTAGGGCTGTGCAAGTTGGCAGTGATCCGATCCAGCTTCGGATCCAGCCACTTCAGATGGCTGCGATCTGATCCAGAGCTCTGGATTGGGTTTTCGCCTCGATCCGGCCGAAGCGGCTCCAAACCTTCGGAGCTGCCTCGGAGATCCGGCCATAGGGTATAATGGGGAATCAATGGAAGATCTATAACTTTTCTGTTTTTGTATGATTTGGATGAAACTTGCAGGAATGGTAGCCTCTGCTAAGAGCATGAAGTCTGCTAAGTTTCACAAAGATCATTGCATGGGTTTGGGGGGAACTGTACCCCAAATGCTTGAAAGCCAAACTCATGTCATGTCTAAATCTTACGGGGGGCTGAAAACTGCAGAGCTGGTAGCTATTACTGAGGCCACAAAGCCTGCCAAGTTTCAAGAAGATCGGTGTAGGAGTTGGGGGGGAACTGCACCCCAAGCTGCTGACAGGCAAAACTTGTGACACAAATGACCCTGTGTGTGTTAAGGCGCAACAGGTTGAAAACTGCAGGGGTGGTGGCTCTTACCAAGGCCACAACACCTGCCAGCTGTGTGTGACCTAGAGCAGGCCTGAGTGAGTGCTGGGCACTGCCAGGCTGCGAAGCCTGCCACTGTGTGTGTCTCGCTAGGGGAGTCTGTCGTTTGGGGCCCTGCACCCCAAGCTGCTGACAGGCAAAACTCGTGATGTGGGTGGGTGACACTGTGTGTGTTCAGGTGCGCCCTTCCTGGCACTGGGGCCTCTGCACAACACGGCAGTGTGCCCCAGTGAGGCCTCCTCCTCCCCTACAGCCTTATGCCCAGTCTTCTGCTTTATGTGACAACAGGTACAATAACTCAGCTGGCTCAACACCAGTAGCATCAGCAGCAGCGTCAAAGGTGCCCAAACAGACCTGTCACAGAGCCTGTCGTTTTATAAAGGAATTGACAGCAAGAAGTTCAGAAGCCCAGCTCTGAAAAGTGTTTTGTACATTCAAACAAGCACCTAACCTCATCACCAGAACTGAAGCCAACTTCCTACAGCTCAAAACACAACCTGCCAACTATCTCCAGTACCCCACAAACTGCACACCAGAATCTATCAAAGACAACAACACCCAACTCCCTGTGGGGCACGTTCCCCACCAAAAAATCACTCTGCCTCTAGTGTCTCAGGCCTGATCCTGAGAGGGAACAAATTACAATGCAAACCAGTTTTCAGAGCTGGGCCTATGAACTGCACTTCATCAGCCACCTAGGTAGTAGGTAGACAAAATCCTGGACTCAATATAGACACTGACAGTGGAGTTCTGGCACACTGCGACCTGCCGGACATCTGACACCCCAGGCACCTCTGCACTTTTACCTGCACTGCTACATCCCCCTTTTCCCCTCCCCCCCCCCCAGCCTGTCCCTCACCCCCTGATGCCTCCATTTCCATTTTCACTGACTGGCTATTTTTCCTGCATTGCATGCCAAGCCAGCCCCTGGCATCTTTACTATTCCTTCCATCCAGGACCAACTGCAGGTACTTCCTCAGCCTGACAAATGGGTTTTCAGCCCTAAAGCTGGCATCCCGGGCAGCTAAGCTGAGCTCACCGGGAGCCTCACAACTGCACTGCAACCAGCAAGCATCAGGCCTGTCAAAGATGTGACAGGTTTGGGCGTTCCCCAACCAGGACTTTGTGCATGCATACGTTAGCTGGATGTTGTGGCACCTCCTCCCCACCTTTCACCGGGGGATCGTTGGTCCTGGCATTTATGGGGCTGCCGCACCACCAGCAGTCCCACCAGGCCTCTCTACCCTTGCAGGGTCCTGCTTCCCCATAGCCCCAGTCCCATACCTCCAAGTTCGTCCTTCTCTTTTGGTGCAACCACCAGATTGCCCAGCGTATCTTGCAGGGGCCCCACATTTCCCGGTGCCTTCTTCATCCTCCCTATATATTTGAAAAAAGACTTTTTATTATCTTTGATCTTGGACTCTAGTCCTAGCTCTATGTCCACCTTGGCTTTCCTAACAGCCCCCCTACAGGCCTGAGTAGTGGAGGTATACTCTTCTTTGAAGATAGTCCCCCGCCTCCACCAGGTGTACACTGCCTTTTTGGCAACTAGGCATTCCCAGACGTCCTTGGTGAGCCAGGGGGGCTTTTGGGCACTCTTGCCCCCCTTGCTTCTTGTTGGGATTGTCACCCCTTGGGCCCTGAGTATCGTCTCCTTAAGGAATGACCACTCATCTTGGGCACTGAGTTCCCCTGCCCTCAAGAACCCCAGCTCCTCTCCCACCAATCTCCTCAACTCCTTGAAGTTGGCCCTCTTGAAGTCTAGGGCTATCGCCTTGCTGCAGGCCCTTGTCACCCTGCGCTGGATGATGAATTCCAGCAAACGATGATCACTGTCACCCAGGTGGTCAAGGACCTGGAGTCCCCTTACCAGGTCATCGCCTGTGGCCAGGACCAGGTCCAACAGGGCATTTCCTCTGGTGGGACTGTGCACCTCCTGGGTTAAGTGGAGGTCCCGTATCTCAGCCAGAAACCTCCTGGAATGGTCCAACCTGGCTGACTGCTCCTCCCAGCAGATGTCCAAGTAATTTAGATCACCCATGACAACTACATCCCTTGCCTTAAGTGCCTCTGCAGGCTGACTTCTGCCATTTTGGCAGAGTTTATTCATGTTTTCTGCTGTCAGAAGGGAGCTGATACTTATCTTTTTCCCTAATTAGGAAGACATCAGCAAGCTGCTGAGATACTGCACAGGCCCCTTGAATATCACATCATCAAATAGATGAGAAGCAGGAGGGATTATCATCAGCCTGTCCAAGGTAAACAGAAAGGATGGTGTCACTGTGGGAAGAGCCAAGAACAAAGTAACAACAAAGGAGATTCACTGCGATTCCTCCGTAAGATCTTGTTCACCTCCCCACACCCTCATACTCACGTGTTGTCCTACCCTCTGCTATATAAATCCCACTGCCATGCTTTCTATTCAGAGTGCTATCATCAAGTGTCTGAGTCTTTGGTCCGTGGTGGCACTGAAGTCCTCACTGAACATCACCATGAGGGTCCTTCTCCTTCTCTTTGCTCTTCTCTTCCTGGTTTTCCAGATGCAGGCTCAGCACAAAGCCCAGGAAGAAGCCCAGGACCCAGCACTTCAGGATGAAGCAGAAGCAGTGATGGCAGCCCCAGGTAGGACACCAGCCAGCGTAGGAGAGTAATGGGGCTTTTAATAATGCTTTTAATGCAACTGTCATAACTCTTATGTGCCCGTTTGCTGTTCTGGCTGGCTTATGAAGGACATGGGCACAGGGGAGATCTCATGAGCACAGTGGCTGGAGCACTGCTGACTGCAAAGACATTTGTCAATGAACTGGGGGTTTGGGAGGAGGAAGAGGAAGACAAGCCCTAGGACCCCCAAACCTTCTACAAGCTTGTCAGAGCTGATTTGGATCAGTGCCTCGACACAGTGGAACTTTCCAGCACAAGGCACGGTAAGGCAGGGGAAGTCTCGGCATGGTGAAGAGTTCCAGCGTGGATAGAGTTCCCGCCGAGGAAATGCAGATTTGCATAACACGATTGGCCGATGTTAAATTATTCCCACGTG